GCAACTGGAAGGCTGAACCAGACCCGAGGCAGTTCCTATGGCATTGTTACATATAGCTTCGGCAATTTTGTCCTTGTAAGTCACTCTTATGTCTTCCAATATAAATCCGGTGCATGGGTTTGATGGGCTGCAGTCAAACTTCAGTGCTACTTCTGTGGCTGATGTCCCATGTATGTCTTGGTATGTAACATCGCTAATTTTCACTCCCGAGGCCTATTTCACAAACAAAGATAAAATAATCAAAATTTCTGTCCAATTGCCATAAAAATATGCATGATAGGACATGCATTTGCATGAGGTCGATGACAAGAGAGAATATTCAAGTTCTGACTGCGGAGGAGCTATCTCTATCTTGATCACTACTAAAAATTGATAGCTCACTTGCAAAAATATTTGGCTCTTTTAACAGTAGGGAGGTTTGACAACTAAGAGATAGAAATACAAAAATGTACCTCTTTTATAAAAACTCATAGGTTGTCAATTTTTCAATAGTGATTTCGTCCTCACCAGAAGCTAAATATTTTTCTTTTTATATTTTTGTCTTCCTTGTCAAACATTTGAAAGTGAGTCAGGATATAAGATGAGTTTTCATCCGTCATGACGTAAGTATTTTTTGATGAGAAAATATAATGTTACCTGTCCGGGGCAGCCATGGCCGCCAGGGCAGTAATTTTGATCAACAATCACTGGGTTCTCCACATTGTCGAAAACGATGTGCTCAAAATGAACGTTTCTGGCAAACCCACTGCTGGGCCTTCCCCACGACTTAATCCTCACACCATTCATAGTCCCTGTGAAAGAAGCTGTTTTCACCGTCACGTTTTCCACCCCAGCCTCTACTGCCCCCTTCCCCAAGCTCCCAATGCTTCAATAATCAGTAGTCAAAACACACAACCAATATTATATCATCTAGCTACTTTATAAAGTCAGTAATATACAAATAATAATAATGTAGCCATAGCCTACCTGATTCCGTGGCCGGGTCCACATGCAATTTTTTCCATCCACAAGTGGGATGTCCCCGGGCCGATTGAGATGCAGTCGTCCCCCGTGCCGATGGTCGAGCTGAGGATGGCGACGTTTGATGACTGCTGCACGTGAATGCCATCAGTGTTTGGGCTATCACCGGGGGCCAACACCTTGGCTCCTTGTATTTTCACGTTCTCGCACCCACGCACCACAATGTGAAACATTTGGCTGTTGAGTGAAGATAATCCGCTTATCATAACGTTTTGTGTGTCCGAGACTTCCAACGTCTACAAGTTCATAACATTGGACACGAATAATGAATATTAATTCAAATCAATATAATATAGAAAAATATTTAGGTGGTGACTGGTGAACGCTTAAATTAAATTGAGTACCGTGGCTCCAACAGGGCAACCAGATCTTGACTTTTTGCAAGCCCATAGGCCCTTTCCTTGGCCATCAAGAACACCACCATAAATGGAAAGCCCATTGAGGTGTCTAAAGGCCATCCAGGAGGGAGTGTTGGCCAGAACCTCGATGTCTGAGGAAGCCACCAGTGTTCCATCGATGCGCACGGTGATGGCATTGTTCTTACAAGGTCCACTAAAGGTCCCACTCTGAACGTAGAATGTGCCATTGGGCACGTAAATGGTGGCTGGCACGGGCGAGCCACAGGCATGGCCCCAAGCAGTTTGCAATGCRAACGACGCATCGGTCCTGCCATCGGCCTTGGCTCCAAGACTTACAATATTGAATGTCAATCCGGGATGACCCAAAGCGAGGTCCAAAAGGAGCAGCAGAAGGGAAAGCCGAACTAGCTGTGAACATCCAAGAAGAGCCATTTCAAAAGTGTTTGTAGATGAAAAGAAGTAGGTGATGGGAAAAATGGAAGGGGCTGTGATGTGATATTTATAGGCTAATAATGCAGTAACGTTCATGGAAACAGTTTGACGTTGAGTTTGGAAGACTGATTTCGGCGGGGGACTGCGTGGATATGGATCAATCTGCCCTCCTGAACACATTGGATTGGATCTTTAGTTGAAGTTATTTTGAGAATCATTGTTGGCAAGGAAAGGAGAATATAAAACGTATGTAAGTGACAACGCAGGTGAAATCAAAAGTAAAACCATAAAAACTAATGTCGAAAATGGACACAATATCATATTATTATAGAAATGCAGAGGTCGCTTTGCCAAATAACTATAATTGTAATTATGTGATTTTTTTTTAATTTTTAGTTTAACATGTGGCGTAGGAAGATTCAAACCTCCAATATTATTATCTAATTAAATTATACTTATGTTGTCTTGTATGATATGACTTGACGTGAAGCCAGATTTGAAAAGGTTAGTCAAAAATGAAATTGTTAAAATAAGAACTGAATTTGGGATGAGGAATGGGTAATGGAAGATATACTACGGAATTGAATTACCAAATTTGGGCCATGGAAGGTATATTACGGAACTGAATTTGGGATGATGAATGAGAAATGGAAGGTATATTACGAAAATGAGTTACCAAATAGCAAATAGTTCACAAGGCAATTCAATGAGTTGGATAAATTATTGAATAAGGCCGCTGCACTTGGCAGTTATGTGTTCTATGTAGACTCCTAAATTTGCAATTCTTATAATAACCACGATTATAAATTCGAAATCCTTTTATAGTTTCTCTATCATATATCAAAGTGTATAAAATTATGGGCCACTTTATTGTGGTCTTCTCCAATAATTTAGTTACGTTCTTGCTTATCACTTTTAAGCGAGGAAACACAATTCACGTCTCGTCCACTCTCTCCTCCCACTTTTTCGCATTCAATTCTCCTTTTGGATGCATTTCTAAATTTTGATTTATGTATGTTTATGTTTAATTATTATCGTTAAGGTCGGTTTGATGGAATGTTGATTTAGGACTCTATATTAGATAAACTTTAGACAATGTCACATGATCTTACAATTAAATTGTAAAGATGATCAATTTTGATAAAGTATAATAGATAAATATTATTGTTCAAAAAAAAAAAAGATAAATATTATACTTTTACTTTTAAGTTTAACTCATCGGATGATTGTCGGTCTCTAATTTTTTTTTCCCTAATTTTCTTCGTAAATTGTTCATCTATTTTTTAGAACAATGACATCCTATCTAAATTTTATCTAGTAGAACGATCATGTGACTTATGTCAATGTTAATTTTATAACTTCACAAAAATTCTTTTGGATCTATAATTAATAAATGTAAAAAATTTAAGGATGCTAAACATATAAGTGAAAGAAACCTAATTTAACCTACAATCTTTTTAATAGGAGAAAAGACTAGAGATTATTTTAGTTCATAAAATTTTTACTTAGCAGTGTTTACAAGTTTCAAATATTTTAATTCCATTATTTTCAAATATTTTAATTTCATTCGTGAGTTTGAATTTGTACTTAAGAAAAAAGCAGTGAAAATTTTCTACTCCAAAAGAAACTATTTATGATAATTTGAAAACATAAATGGAATATCGAAAAATATATAAAACGAATAGTTAGAAAGTAAGAGAATGTCTTTTGTGGGTAAAATTTGGAGAATAATCATTTAAAAAAACGTATGGATGTTTAATTATTATTCTTCCAAAAATGAAAAAAAGAAAAATGGAAATCTGTCGTGTCGTTATTTATGAAATGGTCAACGAGAGTAATGTCAATTGCCAAGGTAACGTATATATTTCATGAGCGTTGGTAATTATGTTGCCATTTTTGAAATGTTTTCCTTTTCCATTTCAAAACAACTTCTCAACGCCCTACTAAAATAAGAACTTTTTACTCCTTTTCCGTGTTCGAATATCTGTGGGTCAGTTTATTACAAATCTATGGTTCCATTTTAATTACTTTTTATATATATATACACACACACATATATTTAGTTTAAAATTTAGTTTGGTTTTTCAACTTTGAGATTTATTCCGTTGTTCAGATTTTAAAAAATATATTTAGAATAAAAAGAATAGAAATAACTAGTTAAATTTGTTGTTATTTTTACGTCAACCTCCATCTTCGCCCTCCCTTACTTTTACGACGGGCAAGATGGGTAGAGTCAACGCTCATTAATGTACCAACATGATTATAGCTCAGCGATAATTGAAATATATTGTTATGGGAAGATAAAATGAGACTATAATTGGAGGGCAAAAATTGGGACGAAATAGGAGTGGGCCCACAAAACCAGGTAAGGAAGCTGGAACTTGATGACATGGGTCGACCACAGCTGACCAGGTCTTAACGTCGATGAGTTCTCGGTCACCGACCGATAACTCTAGCAGTTTTCTCCAACTAGTATGCATCCCGTCCCGAACCTATCTCGACTCTCGATCCAACATTAGGCCCACAACGAAGCACACGGGCATAGAAGTCCAGAATTCCTGGAGACATCAAGATACAATTGGCGTCATTCGTGGGGACGACTAAAGATCTAAAACAAGTTATTGACATGATCTCTGGAGGTAGACCACAACATTCTGACGACGAGTGACATCCGATGAGGAAAACAACTCGGGGGCTACCCTTGCCCGAGATGGTTGAAGCTGAAACAGGTCAACAGATTCCGGAGCAAGTCCTAGGTGAAACAAGTCGACAGATTCCAGGACATAAAGAGTAAGCGACTGAGGTTCCTGGACAGCAGGAGAACAAATTGGTCGCTTTGGAAAAGAAGGTTGGGGGAATGCACTAGAGCATATTTATCCTTCTCAAAAGACTTGAGCAACAAGAAGTGTGGCCACCTACACTCATCCAAGATCCACAGAAGGGCAAAGCTCTTACGATTGAAGATGTTGAAGAATCAACAAACAGCCTACTGGCACAAAGTAAACTGAGAATGGGAGGCAACGACAAACTGCAGAATGATACTTTTAGCCGACAAGATCTGGTAATTGCATGACAGCAAAAGTTAGTGATGTTGTTGGTTTCGTACAGGGAGTGCAAACAAAAGTCCATATTGGTTATGGAAGGGAGTGATCATGGGTATATAAGAGAGGACAATTATCTCTATTGGTACGAGACATTTTGGGTGAACCAAAAGCAAAGTCGTGAGCGCTATGCTTAAAGTGGACAATATCATACAATTGTGGAGATACTCGAGGTATGAAAGGTACCGTTGTCCTTAACAAGTGATATCAGAGTCATGGTTTAAACGTCGCTGTGTTGGTGAACCCTTGGATGCCGAACAAAGAAGTGGTGAGCCTCGGAAGGTGTAGTTATGGTGTAATCTGTGGGTGTGCTCTATCAAGGTATGGTGGAAGCCTTGGATAAGAGCAAGCTCTCGTTTTGGTTTACGAGAGTAGACGGATGAGTGACTACTTGAGGGAAGGCGCGGTGGTACTTTGTTCGAGAGGAGGATTGTTGACTTTGTATAGGGAGTACAAACAAAAGTCCCACGTTAGCTATGAAGGGAGTGATCATGGGTATATAAGAGAGGACAATTATCTCCATTGGTATGAGACTTTTTGGGTGAAACCAAAAGTAAAGTCGTGAGGGCTATGCCCAAAGTGGACAATAAAATAGAAATTAACAGAGAGTCTCAAAGAATATGTGGCTCGCTTCAATAAGGAAAAATTACTAGTCGAAGATCTTACCCATGGAATATTGCTGCTCGGTTCCATGTCTGGGTAAAAGATAAGGGGCTATTATTCTCTTTTGGAAATAGGACCCCATCAATTTTCTTAGAAGCATTGAGTCGAGCCCAAAGGTATATGAAAGCAGGAAAGCTACTCCATTCAAGGCGGGATTTTGATAGGACTCACAAGACCGATCAGATCAACAAGACCTTCTCTGAAGAAATATACTCGAACAACAGTCCCGCTCGAACAAATTTTGATGGAGATCGAAGACAAGAAACCCACTCAGATGGCCTGAAAAGACAGAAGTGTCATCTCACAAAAGAACTAAAGGAAGATATTGCCTTTTCCATCGGGATCATGGCAACTTAACACAGGAATGTTATGATCTCAAGGAAGAGGTTGAAGATCTAATGCACAAGCGTCACCTTCAGGAGTTTGTTGTAGATTCCGAGGTGACTCCAAGCGATGACCAAGACAACAAGTCTCCCACCAGGGAGGTAAAGATGGTATTAGAGGGGACCCACAGGATGAGAGCTTAGTAGGAAAAGAAGAACAAGAATCAAGGAGAACAATGAGTATCACAAGAATACTACTACACCATCTCGAGAGGTTGCAGAGTGTCACAACCATACTAGTAGATAGTAGGTTGTGACACCCTGTGTAACGCCCCGCGTTCTCTGACTCGTTTATTTTAAGAGATAAATAGTGTCTTTGGATTTTTCCCTAAGTTGATAACTTTAATTCTTGGATTTTCTAACTTTGAAATTCTAATTTTTGGCTAAATTAGAATTAAGTTTAATTTCTTTGGATTAAGATAATTTAAGTTCTCGACCTGTGTAGGATATTTTTAGTTAAATTCTAAATTCACGAGTTTTAGGATTTTCCTTCCTAAATTCTATTTTACTTTGAATTATTATTCTTGGGTTTTAGAGTTTAAGTTAACTATTTTATTTCGGGTTGTTGTGGGGTTTATTTTATTT